AGTGCCCATACAACGTTGAATTCAATAGCAGTGCTTGCTCAATATGTACTTAGCAACAGCAGGTATCACTTAAACGCTTTTGCTTCTTTAATGAGGAGATCACAAGAAAGCCAAAAAAGAAAAAACAAAAAACAAAAAACCTTTCTGGCCATGAGATTTAGACTCTGAGATAGCACAGGCACATTACCATGACAACTGGTAAAAAGCAGAGATGATCCAAATGTTCCTAGAATTTTTCCTGAGAATCCCAGACATTAATCCAGTTTGTCCCTAGTTCATCTTCAGCATCAGAGAAATGGTCTCAAGCAGATGCTAAGTTAGAGCCTGGGCCTTGGGATCTCATTTCAGAAGGTCAGAAGTCTTCTCAGAATTAATTTGGTCTTCCAAACTTCCCCTGGGTGGGGGTGGAATAGACGGTGATAATTATCCTGTAGGTATTCAGATTTGTGTAGAGGAGACAGAGGCAGAACTAGGTTACTACAGAGGCTGCAGTCAAGAAATTTAGATTGCTATCTCATTCCACAACTTTGAGTTTGACTTTCTCAAACTTCAGTTTCCTCATCTGTAAAATGGATAGAAAAGTCCAGATGATTTGCAAGGCCCATTTGTGGTCTAACAAGTCTTAGACATGAAACAATGCACTCTCATCTGGGTTGACTCAGTTATTTGTTACTACCCACTTTGGCCTGATTCCTTTCAGGTCTCTGTAACACAGAACTTTCCATTGACTTAAGAACGTGCATATTGTATCACTAGTCTTAGAACCTGTTGCCTGTAAGAGACCAAAACTCTAAAATTTTAAAGTGAAGCACCTTAATACTTCTTACTTTACCTCTGGTTAAAAAGTATAATGGATGTTCGTGTTAAAAAGTTGACAAATGAAAAGAAAACAAAATATCTCATAATTCAAAGATAGTCGCTGTTAATATAAACATATACCTCTCCAGTATTTTCTGAGTATATATGTACATGTATCAATAATGCAGATCATTCTGTGTATGTCAGTTCATATAGAACATTGTACTCAATCCCATACTGTGAAAATTTTTCCATGCCTAAAATATTTCCTATCTGGCTGTTTGAGTTACTTTTCTTGCTGCTGAGACAAAATATCCAACACCTACAAGGTAAGAGAGGAAAGGTTTATTTAGATCACAGTTTGTAGAGGTTTTCAGGTCATAACCAGTTTGCTCCAAGGCAGGACAGCATGGCAGAGGGTCATCACTGAGGAGAAATGGTTCATGGTGGATAGAAGGTAGCTAATCAGGCAAGCAAGGGACCTTAGCAACTTTTTTTGTGTGTGTGCCCATTTTATGTTCTATCTAGACTACTAAGGTTAAGGCAGTGCCAAACCAATCAGTGGACTGATTTAGTAATCACCCACCCTTAATCCTAGCACTCTTAATCCTAGCATTGCACCATGAATCAGTCATACACTCAGGATCCAGCTAATTCCGAATAAGCCCCACCTATGATCACCTGAGGCTTTGGAAGGACATCTAAATGCAAGCCATAACACTGGCTTAGTGTCTAAATAATATTCTATTAAAAACATATTAACAGCTTCTTCTCCCCCCCCACTTCCCTCTCTCCTCTCTCCCTCACCTGCCTTTCCTAATAAAGTCTCCTGTTGGAAAACAAAACAAAACATATCAACAGCCAGGTATGGCAGTGCATGTGTGTAATGCCAGTATTCAGTAGGAAGACTGGGGTGAGTTGGAGGCCAGTTTGAGCTACATAGTGAGTTCAAGGCCAGCCTGGATTACATAGCAAGATCCTGCCTCAACAAACGATAACAACAAATGGTGTATCAGCATTTATCTTACTGTTGATTAGAGAATTTGGGATGTTAGAGGGCCATTTTGATCTGACAACAAAGACAGTACGTAGAGTTTCAAGGATACATTTTGTACTCCAGATTACCAGGTAACTGTATAGCAGTCAATAAACTTCTACCTATTGACCTCTCCTTGGCATTTGTTATTTAAACATTTGCATCAAGCTCTTCTTAAATAGCACTAGTTCTGAACATAGGGGGCCCTCTGCTGTTCCCTTTCTTTGTCACAACATATTTGTGACCCTATTGACAATGAAAAAAAAATGTGGTATGGGCTGGGGATTTAGCTCAGTGGTTCTGGTGCCTGCTTCACAAGATCAAGGGCCAGAGTGAAAAAAAAAAAAAAAAAAAAAAAAAAAAAAGTGTGGCATATGAAATAAAGCCATAGATCTCAATCCTCAGAAAAAGCAAGTCCCAGCTCCACTGTGCATCTGATGGTCAGAATTTTAAAATAGCCAGTATAACAACAAATGAAAATTTAAAATTAGCTGCTTCTCCTATCTTATGCAGAAAATTCTACACAATGGTTTTACATTGGTTTACTCCTTCTTACATGGAAATGTATAGACCTATTTATTTAATCTGCTGTGGCTTATCTTCATAATATTTTCCTTGATCAGGCTTTTCCAGCAAATGAGGACAGATACACATTATATGGAGATAATGAGGTCACTGGCATGAGCTTTCCTGCTTTTCCCTTCCTTATTTTTCTTCCTCAATAAATATTTATAATTAAAAAATAAGAATTCACATTTCAGTCTCAAGTGTTGATTTCTACAAGCCTTCTTTTAAATCCTTGAGAACCATGCATGACATAAAATCTTCCCTTCTTAGAAGGGAAACTCAAAGGCAAAAGGAACTGAAGGTTGCCTCAAGTCGTACTGTATGTTAAGACACAGTCTACTTTAACACCAGGGTGATGACTCAGAGTCTTGTGCTCTGATCACATCCCTTGCTACTGGGGCCAGCTATTCTTGCAGTCCTTGGGATTGAAGTAGAGATAGGATTTCAACAAATATGAAGAGGACAGTAACCATTATACTGTCTCAGTAGGATGACTGTTCCTTAGAAAAACCCTGCCCTGTGAAAGAATAAGGTTGGTGGACAAATGTTCATCCTTAAGAAAGGAGCAACAAATTTTTATTCCTTTGGTAGAAATTCATTATGTAGAAGTTATTTTCCTTGGTGCTTTGGATAGAAGGCCAAAAAAATTGTAAGATATAGTAACTACTTAGTAATACCTACTAACTATAAAGATACACTATTTTGCTCTTAGAAAAGACCCTGACACATAGCAATGAGTGCATATATGTTTTATCAATCAATAAAAGTATGTAAGAATAATGTTAGTTCAAAAATATCTAGCCCTATTTGCCAAAACTTTGTATCCCCACTGGTTTTAAAACTTGCAATGGTTTTGTGGAGAACAATATCCTCATTTTATATATGAGACTTAAAGAGGATAAATCTTTGTTAAAGATCATAAAACTAACAAAATCACGATTTAAATTCAGTCTATCTGGCTCTAGATTGCCTCTTCTTAACCATAATACTGTGCCATCTGCTGTCCCTGGGTGACAGTCCTATCTCCTCTCTGAGTGTACCTGCCTAATAAACTGCTCTTCTGAATACCATACTAATTATAGTCTTACCTATAAAGTAAAAATGAACATTCCTGTTTCCTTATACTCTTGCCAATTTTGGACAGTAGGTAAACAAAACTTATAGTTGATCTCAAAGTCTTTTGCCTTGAATTATGAAACATACAAAACTATGTTCAAAGTCACTAATCACTAAAGAACACTTGTTTCAGTTATGTGATTCGAAGGGCAGTGGACATTTATATCGAAGTGCATGGAAATGAGATGTACCCAGAATAAATTTGAAGTTACTGAGAAATGTTCACTTCACTTGTAATATTAGTTCATTGTCCTTTATCTGGAATGTTTGGGGCCAGAAATATTTAGATTTTAGTTTTTTTTTTTTAATTTTGGAATATCTGCATATACCTAATGAGATATTTTTGGGGCGAGACCCAAGTCCAAACATGAAATTCATTAGTATTTCATATATACCACATACACATAGCCTGAGGTGATTTTATACAATTTTTTATAATTTTGTACATAAAAGTAAATTTAATGGCATAGAATTTTCCCCTTGTGGCATCATGTTGACACTCAAAATTTTTGGATTTGGGGGCATTTGGAAATCTAGATTATAGATGGTCAATTCACATGCCACCATTGAATACAGTTTAACATCTACCCCTTGTGTGCCATTCAAAAGTTTAATTTTCTTTAGTGTCTATCTCCCCATCATATCACAATGGCCTTCTATTAACTATATGTAATGAACACTTTAGTCTTGCCTTATTTGTGTCTGTCCTGTTTGGGGATTTTGGGGTTTTTTTGTTTTGTTTTGTTTTGTTGTTTTGAGACAAGGTCTCACTATGCAGTTCAGGCTGGCCTTGAACTCACTATAGCAGAGGCTGGCCTTAAACTCATAATGATCCTCCAGCCTCAGCCTCCAGGGTGCTGGGATTACAGGCATATGCCACCACGCCTGGCTCCTGTTTGGAGCATTATATAGTCCTTCCTGAAAATTTTCTCTTTTGTCTCCTGCGATATTCTGTGTTTCCTCCATCTCTATAACATTTGGAGTTTGATGGCAACATACTCTTCCTTTTTATATTCTCTAATCTTTGTGATCGTTTACAAAATGGTTTAGCTAGGCCTGGCAGCACATGCTTGTAATCCCAGCACTTGGAAGCCTGAGGCAGAAGGATAACAAGTTTAAGCCCTAGTCTGGGGAATTTAGCAAGACCTTGCCTCAAAAGAAAAATAAAAAGAGTAGAGGCTGTAGCTCAGTGCAAAAGTCCTGGGTTCAATTCCTAGTGGGGGTGGGGGACTAGGGGTTGGCTTTGGTTTGTCTCTTCTATCTCCACATTAACAACTTGCTGATAAGTCACAAATCTTATCTCAGTTCGGCCCAGATAACTTCTTGGGTATTATTTGCAAACCGGTCTACAGAACACAACATCCAGAGAACAAAAGAGGTTTTCTTCTCTTCCCCCAACCACCAGCAAAGTTTCTCCTTCATTTACCCTTGTGAAGACCACCACAATTAGCTCTATGAAGCCTGGGAGGTCAACTTTCCTCACCTTGTGTGAGTCACTCCCTTAGATAGCTTTCCAATCTGTTCCTGGCTGTCTTTCACCCGGCCATCCACGCCTGAAGAGAAGCCATGTGTGCCGGACAGATGCATAAGTGAATGAATTGGGTAGGAAGGCTGTAAAATCATGTGATGGCTTTATATTTCCTGATTTTCAAGGCGGTTTCCATAGCTTGAGTCTTCTTTAATGCAAAAAAAAGGCTGCTCTAAAATGGACATCAACTAACCTTTTCTTGTTATGTATCTGCCCACCTCTTCCCTCCCTCCCGTCGAAGGCGTCTGCTCTCGCTTATCCGTCTTCCAATCCCGCCTTTCTCTGCGGCCCTCTTTCGCTTCCCTTTTCCCTCTTGCTGGCCACGCGCCCGCCCTCCCAGCACGCTGGTCAGCTCCTCTCTGCTGCGCGCTAAGCCCCGCCCCCGAGGAACCCAAGTCACGAGGCAGGGGGTGGTGTGCCGCGAAGGGGGCGGGACCAGTCTGAGGATCCGCAGCGCGCATGGGCGGAGCCGGTGCGCGGGCCGCCTTGGTATATCTGCGCCTGCGCGGCGCTCCTGCGGGGCCAGTCGGGACGGAGGAGACAAGATGGCGCTACGGGCTATGCGGGGGATGGTGAACGGGGCCGCACCCGAGCTGCCCGTGTCCACCAGTGGGCCGGTGGCTGGACCTCGGGAGCAGGCTCTGGCAGTCAGCAGGAACTACCTCTCCCAGCCTCGGCTCAGTGAGTATCAGGAAGCAAGACATTCCCCGTCTTTGCCTCTTAGCCTTTGCTTCCACTCACCTGTTTAGCCAGCGAGTAAGCAGTGGAATTTATTTTTCCCTACTGCGTTCCCACCTCCCCAGTCCTGGACCCACAAGTGTTTCTCTAGGAAATTTGCTTGTTGGATTTCCGTGACACGCATGGGCGGAGGGCCAGAGCGCCAACCGGGAACTTAGCTGGATTTGGTGGGCTCCTGGCTGCGGCCCCATCTTCTCCAATTTCCCTGGGCTGTCGCACAGGGTCACTTCCTGTTACTCGGACCTTAATCACCTGACCTCGTTTGAAAGCCTCGGAGTCCAGCGAACCCTCTTCCCATCCCCTTTTGCTGCTGAGGACCCGGGGGGGGGGAGTGGGAGTTGAGAGCCCCTGCCCAGCGCGGACCTTTGGTGCTATCGTTGACGTGGGCAGGCCTTTCGTGGATGGAGATCAGGCCCGCAGCTGGAGGGAGTCGGGCTTGTTGGGCGGAGGGGCTGCTTCACCGGAGGACACGTAGTTATCAGAGAACCTTAGAGTTGAAAAGTACCCTGCGAGTCATCCAGTCCAACCCTCTCATTTTACAAGTGAGAAACCGAAGGTTCTGGGGAGGATCGGGCGTAAGACTTCAGACATCTAATAATTATTGGCAAAACGGGAACTACCAATTCTGATTTCTTAATACTTCCCAGGCATATTTTCTGCTGTTGCGTCCTCATTTACTGAGCACCTACTTAACCAGTCTGTTCTTTGGGAAAGCCAGGTAGCTTTGCCCATATCTACTATACATACATAGGCTTGCTCGTTCAGGTATTGTGATTGTGAAAGGGAAAAATAAACTACTATTTGTAAGTAGACGTCTCAGCAGTTCCAAAAGAAATGGTTCTTGATTACTAAAGATTGCAGTTGAGTAGCATCGGACCTCTTCACAGCTTCCTTAGGGACTGGGGATGAGCTCTGGAAATAAATATTTTCTTAAAAACTTGAAAAGTGCCTATTGTTTCCCCAGATAATGAAACTGTATTTTCACTGGTAATTGCTGGCCTGCCCGTTTGTGGGTGGCTCATTGGTTAAACAGAATCTCACATGAAAGGTTTTAGTGGGGTGCTCTCCAGCCTGACTAATCCTGTCCTGATCTGTCAGCCGGGTCATGTGACAGCACTGCAGTGTGAGGAGGGAGGAAACACGTTCAGTCCAGATTGCTGATATGCGCCTTTTGCACTGGGAATTTGATTGAACTGGAGAATGCCCTTTGGGGGAGGGAGGTTATTATGAGCTGAAGTAAATGTTTAGCAGATTGACAGATCCCACGCTGTTATATAACCCTTAGCCATACAGTTATTCCTAAGAATTACAGATCCTCTTTTATGACCTGGATTTATATGCTTTGCTTTGGGCAGAAGAGATACACATAAGTGGTGCCACTAAAAAAGGTTTTGTAAGTACAGAAGTTTTCATATAATTAATCAGTGTCAGAGCAGAGAATATCAGCTGACTGATAAACATTGTTTTAAAGAGTGCTTCAAGGCTGTGAGCTGGTTAGGGTGATGACTGATTTCCCCACATTCTGTGTGTGCTTAACCAAGTGGCTAGAGAACCTCTCCAGGTGAAATTCCTGCTGATAGAACTTTGGAGCGTAATACTTAAAATGGAATCGTAGAGGTCAGGGATCCCCTCTATATCCCTAGTACCTTTCACAGGGCCTGACACACAAGATGGCCTGAGCTTTAAAAAGTGTAACTTGCATTTAAACCCCTTGTACTAATAGTTTAGTGGGTAGATTTTTTGTTGTTTTTTTTGAGACAGTCTTATTATGTAGTCACCACTGGCCTTGAACTCTCAGCAGTCTTTGTGCCTTAGCCTCCCAAGTGCTGGTATTACAGGCATGCACCACCACGTCCTCCAAAGAGGGTAGATTTTTAATATGGTTCGAATCAATAGAGAGTTAGAATACCTGATTGAATTGTGCATTGTTCTAAGAAGCATAAATAATGTGATACATAGGCTACAACTAACCACATTTGAATATCATTCTTTTCCTATTCTGCTACTTTTTCTGTTCTAGTTAACAGTTTTAAATGCTTCTGGGTTAGGCATGGTATCATATACCTGTAATCCCAGCTCTCTGAGATGCTGAGGCAGGAGGATTGATTGCTCTGAGTTCGGGGCCAGCCTGAATGAACTGCAAAGTCAGACCTTGTCTCAAAAGGCCAAAAATAAATTAAAAATAAATGTTTCTGAATAAACACTGATTAACTTAATTTTTGTAATTAAGGATTGATGATGCCATCTAAGCTTAAGTAATTATAGTTATTTAGTGTGGTTTTAAATGAAGGAATGAAGTAACATTGGCAGCTCCCTTGTTCAAATTAGATCCTGTTTAAAAACTTCAGGATTATAAGGTTGTTAAAAAGAAATGGAAAATAAAATACCTGAGCTTGAAGTTAATGAATCTTTTTTTGTTTGTTTTTGTTTTGAGTCAGGGTCTTGCTTTGTAGTTCTGGCTGACCCTAAACTTACATGTGGCCCAGGCTGACCTCAAACTCACAGGGATCCTTCTGCTTCAGCCTCCCAAGTATTGGAATTATAGGTGTGTACCACCACACCCGGTGTGAAATTAGTAAATTTTGAACACTAATTGAATATCCAAAATCACAGAGAAAACTTGCTTTCTTTTAAACCTTGAACAAGGTTCGGAAATAACAGAGCTTTTTAGTGCTAAATATTTTTAATTTAATGATCTCCATTTCCCTTGAGTCCCAAGATCATTGGTGGTGAACCTGTGAGATGTGTGCTGCAATGGGCTATTTGTATCAGTGAAATCTCTAAAAGGTTCGCCATCACTGTTCTCTATCAGCTAACCATAAGTTTCTTACATCATAAAGGAGAAGTAGCAGTAGCAAAGTCAATAAGGAATCTTCTAGTGGCCACTGCTCAGCTTTAGGTCTCTACTCTTGTGCAGCAGAGGATTGCTCTGAGTTTTTGTTTTGTTCGTAAGGTGGAGCTTCCAGGGCTGGGACTCTCATTGTGCAATGGTGGTTGAATTTTTTTCTTTGAATATGTCACAATCACTGAGGGCGGTATAGTGTTGAACAGTCTTTATCCTGCAGGAGGCAGAGGTTGGGATGTGAAAAAATATGTGCTCTGTAAAACCTTTGTCGCTTTGGGTGCTTTTAAAGAATGCTATTCTTTAAGTATTTATTGCCTGCTCTGGTGCAGAACTGAAGCTGTGATGGTTCGGTTGTAATATGTATCTACTATGTTTTCAGCATTCTGATCGTCCTCCGCAGGCTCACCTGTGCATTCGTGTTCTGGTGACGTTTTCAAGAGCGCAGTGATTTCGATCAATGATTTGTGAATGGATTTGGGCTTTTTAACAGCAACCTAGTATCATGGTGCTCCAGACTATTACCTCTGCTGAACTGTAAGGGTCATGGTGAGGAAGGCTGGATGACATCATTGAGGGATAAAAAGTAGTGTTTGACAGCATTTCTCTGCTCAGTTTTCTTTTTTTCTTTCTTTTTGTTCCGGGGATCAAACTTGGGTCCTGTGCTTGCAGGGCAGGCGGCATCTGCTCAGTTTTCTTTGCACACAGTTTCATTATCCTGGAAAGAGCTGTGATCTGTATTTAAAATATCTCCTAGTACTTGTTTATAGTGTAAGTGCTGGAACCGTGTCATCTTCGTCATTTTAAATTATACTGGGAACTAAGGTCAGAAGTGTTATAGGGTCAGAGTACCAACCTTATAATTAAAAACAAAACAAAACTGTTAGCCTGGCTCTTCCATTTGATAACAGATTCCTCAAGGCTTTAGTTTCCTTAGGTGTGAAGTGAAAATTGAGATTGTACCAACTTTGCTTGCCTTGCAAATGTTGTAACGCTAAACTCAGATAATCTGTCTCAAAATGCTCTGTAAAAGCATGATACACTTTGCAAATAAAAGTTTGGTAGTATTTTTACTTCATTTGTGTCGTAAGATTTATTAACTTCATTTTAGATGTCAGTTTATGCTGGGCATGTTTCTCTTTAGACTTGTACACAGGTGGTCTGTTTTCATGATTTTGAATGAGAGAAAACTGCTGTAGCATCTCTCATCAGGTATTCCATTCTCTCTGTAGACTTTCAGTAGCTGTGGCTCCACTGGAGAAAGATTGTTTTACCAGTAATCACAAAATGTGGACAGGAGCAATATTGCCTACTTTTAAATAGTAAAAATCACCTATTTTTCATAGCTAAAATTACAGAATCATGAAATTTTTGGGGGTCTTGTTGCTGTATAGTTCTTGCACATAAGTGCTAAAATGTACCATATCAGCAAAAGAAAAAGAAAACCAGACACCCCACGACCAGTTCAGTTTTAGAATTTGCAGTTGTATTAAAGAACAAGTGCCTGGAGCCAGACTCCAGTTTTGGGCAAGCAAACTTCTATGAAAACTAATTTTAATCTTCAGAAACTTTAAATAATAGCTCACTCATTGATGTGTTATGGAGATTAAATGAAGCTCTAAGAAGCTCTCATTAGTTGTGTCTGGTAGTATTGATTTTCATCAATGAACTTGTGAGGTTCACTTACTGACTTGAAAGGATATGTATTCCTTGTTGCAGATTTAGAAAAGACACTTAGTGAAGTGGAATCTTGTCTTTGAGAAGTAGTA